CGAGTTGATTTATATGTTCATTAATTTACAATGAAAAATTTAATTTACAATTTACACATCTGTTCCATTCTATGGTAAATCTGATTGCCTTGGGAATACTGTTCCCAGCTCACTCACTATTTCGCAGTCATTAATTTATGTCGCCCTGTTAGTTAACACTAAGTCTAAAATATAATTATCCATGGCTGGATCCTGTGTTGCTTATGGAAGCAACTCATTAAGATTAAATATCAGAGCCAATTCGACAAGACGGCATCTGTGAAGAGATGCTTGCAAGGAATGGCTACTGAACATATATGGCTACTCCCCCTCTTTGTCTAATATATCTGTGTGAAATAGTTTAAATCCGTTTATTAGATATATGTGAAGAGATGCATGTCTTGGAGTGCCATATTCATGGAAACCAGGAAAGATTATTTTAGAAAAGACCAATGTATAGAATGATCACCACAGCCTGCAAGAACAATGTGACCCATGCAAGAACCCTATACTCATCCTGTGAGCGGTAGCGCAAAAAGCATTACAGGGGGCACAAAAGGTCTTTATCAGACCTCATCTTAGATTATTACATAAACAATTTCATCTATCCTTCACACCTTATAGTTACAATGTCAGCTAGTTACAGAGAAAATGCTATTTCAAGAGCTATACATTTACAGTAAGTCATTATACATTAATGGTAGGTCTTATCGCTAATACATAATAGTTTGACCAATGGTGATAGTCATAGGTTAGCTGCTGTTTATTATTTGTCTTCACAATACACTACTTGTTTCTTCATCTCATATGTCGTTTATCTACTGGAAGCGAAATATGGATACAGTGCAAGGCTCTTAGGACATGCCCTCTTTGTCCGAGATTCTTTATAAACTCCCAATTGTCAGCTGCCAGGAAACGAGTTCGTCCCCACCCACATAGACTTGTTCAGCTGAAGGCATATTGTTAAGTTCCTCTTTAGTAAATACAGAGATAAAAAAATTATTTAAAATACTTCTCATCTCTTCGTCATTATCCGTTATCTGACCTGTCTCAGTTTTTAATGAATCTATCCTTTCCCTAATCTTTGTTCGATATAACTGAAAAACTCCTTTAGGATTTGTCTTCGCTTGCCCTGCTATGCGAACTTCATAGTTTCTTTTTGCTCTCCTTATCTCTTTTTTTAACATTTCCAACCAGTTGGACGAATTCTTACTCTAAACTAACTTCCCCCATTCTTAGTCCTTTAGTACCAAAGCTCACTTTTCTACCTATACGGTTCTTCAAATCCTTTGTTATCCATTTCGGGTCATTATTATTTGATCTATTCAATTTGTATGGTATACTACGTTTCTGTGCTTTGCTTAGAATATTTTTAAATAAGCTATATTTTGAATCCACATCGAAATCCCTGTTTACATCACCTATCGTTGGGTTCACGTCTCATTCCAAGACTGGCCCACCCCATATGCGCAATTTATTTGACCCAAAAAATTTATTAGACTATTAAAATCAGTTTTTAGAAAATCTGGCACTTTAACAGAATTTTCTCCTGCAAATCTATTCCATTTTATGCTAACTCGGATTTCTTTGTGATCACTGTTCCCTAGCTCATTCCCTATTTCGATGTCATTAATTTGCGTTTCCCTGTTAGTTAACACCAAGTCTAAAATATTTTCACGCGTTGGTTTCTTAATGTGTTGCATAAGAAAGCAATCGTCAATTAATTATTGAAAATCTTCCGTTTCATTATTCCCTGTTAAGCCAGTTTATTCCACAAAAATTAAGGTCATCCATGACACAAATACTGCCTCACTTAGATGCTCTAGATATTTCTTTTCATAGATGCTTTGCTTCAATTATGTCCAAGCTTGGTGGGCCTGTATAGAACTCATATTACAGGATTTTTAGCTTTTTCGTTTAATTCTAGCCAAATAGTTTCTGTGTGTGGCTTTGATTTAATTTCCTTTGAGGCTATTTTTAAATTTACCCTAACATATATGGCTACTCCCCCACTTTGTCTAATATATCTATCTGTGTGAAACAGTTTAAATCCGTTTATTTGATATTCAGCTAATAGATCAGTTTTCTACATTCATCCATGTTTCGGTAAGTGCAATGATATCTATCGTTTCTCTGCAGACAAGAGCATTTAAATCATTTATTTTGTGTCTTAGACTCCTACTGTTTGTGTAATATACCCTAAGTGCCAGTCTCCGTAGTGCAGTGGTAAGACACTCGCCTGGCGTTCCGCGAGCGCTTTGTCATGGGTTCGTATCCTGGCCGGGGAGGATTTACTGGGCGCAAATCCTTAACTGTAGCCTCTGTTTAACTCAACAGTAAAATGTGTACTTGGTTATAACAACGATTCTTCGCGGCGGGGATCGCATTCCAGGGACCTGCCCGAAACGCTACGTGTACTAGGGGCTGTACAAGAATGTAACAACTCTTGTATATATCTAAAAAAAAAGTGTATTGCTATTTTGATGTCCTCTTTCCCTGTTCATTTTGCAAGTATTTTTCCCCCACAAACACATACGTTTATTGCCTCCTTTCTCCATATTAATTCCCATATCACTATCTACCAACAGCTTAAACCCAAGCAAACCTCTCCCACCACAGGTTCCAACGAGTTGGGAACAGCAACAACCCCAGCCCTCGATAGATGCACCCCATCCCGAGCATACACGTCATTCCTTCCTCATTATCTATGAATGATATTGCATTTGATTTACAATATTTGTCCGGTCAGTAACTGACACCAAGTGCCCTCGACAACCATTCATTTCCAACACTCTCTTTCTTGGAAGAATGCGACATATGATCAAAATTCTTCCTTGCTCGTAACTAATTCTATGACGACTACCTTGCCCAACCAGTTGGGCTGGAGTCAAGCGTCATGCAGGTTGGCGTTCAATCCCCGACCGTTCAAGTGGTTGGTGCACCATTCCTTTCCCCCATCCCATCCCTAATCCTTATCTTTAAGGATTAGTGCTATAGCCGTCATAGCTTGGCGCTTTCCCCCTGATAATTCATCCACAGATCCCAAGTATCAGCTATTGGTACTGGTAATGGCTCCAAAGGGCTATTCATGCCCGTGCCACTTTTTGGGTGACTTAAACTTTATCAATCAATCAATCCATCCCTGATAATTCCATTCCCTTCCCACGTGAGATCACACAGAGTACTCACCAAACAAATCAGTCACTCACCACGCAGGACAATTACTCAAGAGACAGTCGTCATTTACTCACCAAGGAAGGCGGTGGGTGAGATGATGCCGGTCCTCTTGGCCACGACGATGGCGATGCCGGTGTCGAGGAAGGGCACGGTGAAGTCCAGCACCTCCTCCCGCTGCGAGTTGATCTTGATAGAGGTCATGATCATGTCCGCCTTCCCGTTGATGATGGCCCCCGGGAGCCCTGTCCACTTGCCGTTCTGCAGAAGGAAACATGCTAAGTGCTCTCCGATGTCATATAAAGACGAAGACGGCAACCTGAACCATAGACAAATATTTCCACGCTTTCTCGAAATCCTCACTTTCAGAGGAAAATATTTAACGGTGCCTAAAGCCGCTTGAGTGTGCTCGATGCACTCATTAAAAACAAAAGGTTATTTTTGCCAAATGAAGACATAATAAATAGTGATATTTACAAGAAAAAACAACAAACAGAACTCAGAATAAAACAGAGACCTAGAACTCAGTTCGTAGAGCAGAGTACTAGTCTCGGTCTTCATGATTATGTAAAAACACATATATACACACACGCGCGCGCGCGAGAGGTGCTTATGCTCGACCAGGACATAAACAATTGGGACGCATGCTTTTCATCTGATGTCTCTGTTCATCTGACGCCTGATAGCTGAGTGGACAGCGCTTCGGATTCGTAGTCCTGAGGTTCCGGATTCGATCCCCGGTGGAGGCGGAGACAAATGGGCAAAATGTTTCTTTCGCCTTGATGCCCCTGTTGCCTAGCAGTAAATAGGTACCGGGGAGTTAAGACAGCTGCTACGGGCTGCTTCCTGGGGATGTGTAACAAAAAGGAGGCCTGGTCGAGGACCGGGCCGCGGGGACGCTAAGCCCCGAAATCATCTTAAGATAACCTTAAGATAGCCTAGCAATAAATGAGCCCTGCTATCCTATCGTGGTACCGCGTCGTGAAGGAGTTGTCAGACCTCGGGAGCTGCCTGTATGAGAGAGAGAGTTAAGGCCCAGGGGCCAGATTCACGAAGCAGTTACGCAAGCATTTACGAACCTGTACATCTTTTCTCAATCTTTGGCGGCTTTGTTTACAATTATTAAACAGTTAATGAGCTCCGAAGCACCAGGAGGCTGTTTACAACAATAACAACAGTTGATTGGCACGTTTTCATGCTTGTAAACTGTTTAATAAATGTAACCAAAGCCGTCAAAGATTGAGGAAAGATGTACACGTTCATAAGTACTTGCGTAACTGCTTCGTGAATCTGGCCCAAGCCTTACTGTAAGTACAGAACTGTTTCATTGTTGTCTTTCTGCCCGTTGATCTACGCGGTCAGTTAGACTCTCTCACCTTCTGAGTAGACACAACAGGCGTGGATTAAGATTAAGACGGACCCAATGATGTATGTGTACTCGTATGTATGTATGTATGTATGTATGTATGTATGTATGTATGTATGTATGTATGTATGTATGTATGTATGTATGTATGTATGTATGTATGTATGTATGTATGTATGTATGTATGTATGTATGTATGTATGTATGTATGTGGACAATCGACTTGAGAATGGTCCTGGACGGACCGAAACGTCGTCGTCCCTTCACCTTCTAGTGTGTGGTCTGGTCAACATGTATGTGCACTCGTGTAGTGGCACAGCATTACACCCGCCAGTGTATGTGACCTACACATACACTTCACTATTAGTTCTTGTGTGCTATTGTTGGGCATGACTATTGCCTGCCTCCATTGTTGACCCATTGGGCATGATTATTGCCCGAGTATCCTGATCGGAACACCTGTGTTCTTGTGCATACCGGAATGCTCTCGGACGTAGGTTCGAATCCTCGTCACAGCCCTTGTGGATTTGTTCATCCTTCATTGTATTACATTGTATTACTAGAACGGGTGGTGGAAGGAGTAGATATTCTCTCAGAGTTTGCTCATAACTAAAATTACACGCCCTTTCGTTTTGGGGTTACGTGGTATTGGACTTGGAGTTACAGTAGAGCTCTGGTGAATATCGAGTAGAGATAATTAACGGTAGGTTAAATAGCAGGTAGGAAGCGTTTAGAGACCCCAGGAACCATTACATTGGAGGTAAGTACTGGCCAGTGTGGAAGCGCATGTGTAGTCCCACACCACTTGCTTACCATCCTTCTAAGGAAGCAAGGTGACCCCCCCCCTCCCCGTCTGGTTGCTACAGAGGTTCGTTGGGTTTGAATAAGTGTGGTTCTCTTTGTGCTGGGCAGTGGGCTGTGGCGAGGCTCCTCTTGATGATGATGTTGATATCTTCATGTCTTGCAATCTTACCCTGTGATTTACGACATACCATATTGATTGTAACAGACTAGGCTGTTGTAAGAATTATCCAGAGTGGTTTATCGACAAAAGAGAATGGGAAGCTGAGCCGCATGGTGACCTGACCCCCAGGGGAATTCGCGGTGGAAATAACCGACGCTTTGTTCATATCTGCGTATAATGAATCATCCTATAGTATTCAGGAATTTAGAGAAAATTAGCCTTTATTCATTTTGCATTAAAATTGTATTGTATAATAGTACTGGGTACAATATCAAGAGTATTCTAATTATTGAGTTTAAGTCACCATCAGTGACGTCACGAATCAGATCTAACTTTTGAGGCGGAGTGACCGGCGGTCATAGGTCAGCAGGGTTGACATGTCTAATATTTCTCAAAGTTTTAATAACCATTTTTGTGATCGGGAACAGCTCTGCCGTTAGATGTTTGTAATTTAATTCAGTAAAATAATTCAACCAGTCTGGATCAATTCAGTATAAACAGAGGATAATTGTTATAACTTAACCGTGCTAAAGTAACTGGGTAAGCGATGCGGAACAATACAAGGTTCTAGTCTGGGCTAGGCCAGACGAGGACAAGTCAGTGTGGAAACGGTAGCAGCTGGGATAAGAGGTCAACATCTTACCTCTCCCCAACAAGACCAGCACAACACCCAGAGCTGTGGTCGCCCAAGGTATAGTTGCTATTGTAAATTATAGGGATAGTCTTCTCATTTGCCATTCAGGTCAAGTAGGGAGTGTTAAAGTGATAGGGAGTGAACACATTTAGATTTTGTTTTAGTTTTCTTTTAATAAATTAAATTTGTTATTAATTTGCATTTTATTGTTTCCATTTGTTTATGTGTATACTTGTCCTGGTCACGTGGTCCACACGAGGCAGAGTTGTATTGGGCGCCGATTCTAACATCGAATCGGAATCATCATTACCGTGTAATTTATTCCACACTCAAGGTCATCGTTTTATAGTGGGGATCAAGCCCCCTAGGTTGATTAATTAGCGTGATCGATCCAGACCTCGATCATTGCTCTTGTATTACTGGTCTGGTGGTGGCAGCAGAGGTGACTCTAGGGTTTTGTTCAGAGCTTAGGTCACGTCATACTGGGTGTAGAATCCTAAGTCGGTCAATCGTCTTAGGACCACGTGGCGTGGAGTTGGCTTTGTTAAAAGTTTTGGAGTCCCTTGGTTTAGAAATAAAAGTAAGAATACGGGTAGAGGGAGTAGAAAGAAGAAAGAAAAGAGAGAGAAACCCGAACTCGTGTTACATGATGACCATGACGGCCATATTGGTCTGCCATCACGATTCCGCAGATGCACCTATGTTAGGCGATTTAGTGGGGGGGAGGTGACAAGGCAAAGGGCAATACTCATGCAGAAAGCGTCATGATTGAGGCAAGGTTCCCGGGCTGCATTGGGCACAGCAAATAAAAAATCCCCAGCGTGCGGTGCTGTTACCGCTAGGAGGCGGGCTTTGTTCTCAGCATCTGCATTTTCAAGCATTGTTGTGGCAGTCATTCCCATTACGGGGCTATCCCAGTGGGCCTGCTTGTGGTCTTTTGGGACTTGTGGTCGGGGTTGAGGGTGTGCAATGGTGTCCCATTGTCTGGCTGCTTCCATGAACGTTTGATCATGAGTTCCCGCTGTCTCTCTCATACGCTCTGGTAGGATCTGCCCTACCAATTCGTTGGCTGCTGTACATGAGGATAAGAATGATGGAAGTGCTACTTCGTTGCCTTTTGCATACCTATTCCCCCCAATCTCACTGGTAGTGTTGCTTGGTCCCACTGACTCATCTGGGTTGAGTGCCTTGAACATTGACTTGAGGAGCTCATCATATTGACTGAGTAGTGGGTTGCCAAAAGTGGGAGAACAACTTAGAAAGTGTGTTAGCCTGGGCAAGGTAAGGCACTTTGTGAGAAGGTAGAGGGCATCATGGGAGTCTAAGTCCCCCAGTTCTCTCTTCCATCCTCTTTAAGTCGTTAAACTGTTTTTCAAGGACTACAGCAATGGCATTGTGGCCCAGAGGTGCTCCAAGTAGTGTGCTGTCGGCGGGTTCAATGACTGATGCTTCTGGTAAAACTGATTTCACTGATCTAATAATTACTTCACTGGATGCAATAATTTCGCACTTGGAGGGATTAAGAACGAGACCCATGGACTCCCCCCGTGTCTTCACCAGCTGCAGGTCTTCCAGCAGGGAGTCTTGTGTGCCTGCCAGAGTGCCATCATCCAGGAACCAGATGTTGAGCTCACTGGACAGTCCGGCTGTAATTTCTCAAACCGCTATGCAAAAGAGGAAGAGTGCAAGTGAGGCTCCCTGTTGAATTCCCTCTGCTGAGGTGACTTCGTGTTCGCTAAACAGAAGCGTCGAGTCTATGCTGTAACCTGCTAACACAAAGGGAAGAATACTGGTATGTACTGGTATGATCAGGAATACACATACACACACATATAATATATATTATGGGGTGCGTTATCCCCAGCAGTGTTCCCCCTTTTTAACAGGGGTATGCTACTGCCTCGTACATTCTCCCACACTGTTACAAAGACCCCATTCTCCCTTCCGCCAGAGCTTGGACACCCAGCCATCCACCAAGGGCAGCCCCTCACGGGCGGCCCCTCCAGCAGGAGGTCCCTTGACTCACAAGGACCCTACTTTGTGTCCCTTGGTGCATGCAACACCCGAGGAGGGGCAGGAGAGAGGGGCCAAGACAACCCTCACCGGCCCCAGGTAGGTGTACATGAGCCCCTCACCACGACGAGGGGATACGGTAGAGGGAGCCCCTGCCTTAAAGCCCGGCCTTAAAACCCTATCTTGAAGTTATCTTGAGATGATTTCGGGGCTTAGCGTCCCCGCGGCCCGGTCCTCGACCAGGCCTCCATTTTGTTACACTCCCCCTACCATCCCAGGAAGCAGCCCGCAGCACCTGTCTAACTCCCAGTTATCTATTTACTACTAGGTAAACTGAGTATCAGAGTGAAAGAAACTCTGCCCATTTGTTTCCGCCTCCGCTGGGGATCGAACTCAGAACCTTAGGACTACGAATCCCGAGTGCTGTCCACTCAGCCGTCAGGCCCCCTGCCCGTCATGTCCTGCCCTAAAGGCCTGCCTTAAAAGCCTGGCTAGTCAGGCTTTTAGGACAGGTCGTAAACTAGTCGTAAATTCATCACTATAAAGCCTTATCAATATATTCTCTCAATTACATTAAATCTAAAATTTCATTGAAATTAAACTCAATTGTTTTTGTAACGTAATAAAATAGACGTTCTGACTAGCAGACAAAATGAACATTTCCTGCCAGACCTAACTGGCCTAGACCCAGCAGACCTAACCGGCCTTGACCCAGCAGACCTAACCGGCCTTGACCCAGCAGACCTAACCGGCCTTGACCCCGCAGACCTAACCGGCCTTGACCCAGCAGACCTAACCGGCCTTGACCCAGCAGACCTAACCGGCCTTGACCCAGCAGACCTAACCGGCCTTGACCCAGCAGACCTAACCGGCCTTGACCCAGCAGACCTAACCGGCCTTGACCCAGCAGACCTAACCGGCCTTGACCCAGCAGACCTAACCGGCCTTGACCCAGCAGACCTAACCGGCCTAGACCCAGCAGACCTAACCGGCCTAGACCCAGCAGACCTAACCGGCCTAGACCCAGCAGACCTAACCGGCCTTGACCCAGCAGACCTAACCGGCCTTGACCCAGCAGACCTAACCGGCCTTGACCCAGCAGACCTAACCGGCCTTGACCCAGCAGACCTAACCGGCCTAGACCCAGAAGACCTAACCGGCCTAAACCCAGCAGACCTAACCGGCCTAGACCCAGCAGACCTAACCGGCCTTGACCCAGCAGACCTAACCGGCCTAGACCCAGCAGACCTAACCGGCCTAAACCCAGCAGACCTAACCGACCTAGACCCAGCAGACCTAACCGGCCTAGACCCAGCAGACCTAACCGGCCTAGACCCAGCAGACCTAACCGGCCTAGACCCAGCAGACCTAACCGGCCTAGACCCAGCAGACGTAACAGGCATAGACCCAGCAGACCTAACCGGCCTAGACCCAGCAGACCTAACCGGCCTAGACCCAGCAGACCTAACCGGCCTAGACCCAGCAGACCTAACCGGCCTAGACCCAGCAGACCTAACCAGCCTAGACCCAGCAGACCTAACCGGCCTAGACCCAGCAGACCTAACCGGCCTAGACCCAGCAGACGTAACAGGCATAGACCCAGCAGACCTAACCGGCCTAGACCCAGCAGACCTAACCGGCCTAGACCCAGCAGACCTAACCGGCCTAGACCCAACAGACCTAACCGGCCTAGACCCAGCAGACCTAACCGGCCTAGACCCAGCAGACCTAACCGGCCTAGACCCAGCAGACCTAACCGGCCTAGACCCAGCAGACCTAACCGGCCTAGACCCAGCAGACCTAACCGGCCTAGACCCAGCAGACCTAACCGGCCTAGACCCAGCGGACCTAACCGGCCTAGACCCAGCAGACCTAACCGGCCTAGACCCAGCAGACCTAACCGGCCTAGACCCAGCAGACCTAACCGGCCTAGACCCAGCAGACCTAACCGGCCTAGACCCAGCAGATCTAACCGGCCTAGACCCAGCAGACCTAACCGGCCTAGACCCAGCAGACCTAACCGGCCTAGACCCAGCAAGCCTAACCGGCCTAGACCCAGCAGACCTAACCGGCCTAGACCCAGCGGACCTAACCGGCCTAGACCCAGCAGACCTAACCGGCCTAGACCCAGCAGACCTAACCGGCCTAGACCCAGCAAACCTAACCGGCCTAGACCCAGCAGACCTAACCAGCCTAGACCCAGCAGACCTAACCGGCCTAGACCCAGCAGACCTAACAGGCCTAGACCCAGCAGACCTAACCGGCCTAGACCCAGCAGACCTAACCGGCCTAGACCCAGCAGACCTAACCGGCCTAGACCCAGCAGACCTAACCGGCCTAGACCCAGCAGACCTAACCGGCCTAGATCCAGCAGACCTAACCGGCCTAGACCCAGCAGACCTAACCGGCCTAGACCCAGCGGACCTAACCGGCCAAGACCCAGCAGACCTAACCGGCCTAGACCCAGCAGACCTAACCGGCCTAGACCCAGCAGACCTAACCGGCCTAGGCCCAGCAGACCTAACCAGCCTAGACCCAGCAGACCTAACCGGCCTAGACCCAGCAGACCTAACCGTCCTAGACCCAGCAGACCTAACAGCGAGGTTCTGGCTGTTAGGCACATCACAAGACTGTCGGAGTACGTGATCAAGACTGCCCAATCAGGTCAGCTAATGAGCGCATCTCTCGCCACTTCGCGCCTGAACATCAGTAACAAGACACGTGGCGGGAGAAGCCATCACCACTTCACCAAAAATTCTTAATTAGAATCTTTTGAAACGTTCCGATCTATTGAAATTGCCATGTTGCAGAGTTTAATTAGCAACAGTAAATGGCAACAATCACTGCAGACACTTGCAACGTCTGCCAGGCAGCTGGCAGCTAATTTTAGGCCTCTTTATGTGGTCTTGTTTCCTGGCAACTGTTAGGGTGGCTTGCGTGAGTACTGGTGGTGGTTTGCGTGAGTGTTGGTGGTGGCTTGCGTGAGTGTTGGTGGTGGCTTGCGTGAGTGTTGGTGGTGGCTTGCGTGAGTGTTGGTGGTGGCTTGCATGAGTGTTGGTGGTGGCTTGCGTGAGTGTTGGTGGTGGCTTGCGTGAGTGTGGTGGTGGCTTGGTGGCTGGTGGTGGCTTGCGTGAGTGTTGGTGGTGGCTTGCGTGAGTGTTGGTGGTGGCTTGCGTGAGTGTTGGTGGTGGCTTGCGTGAGTGAGTGTTGGTGGTGGCTTGCGTGAGTGCTGGTGGTGGCTTGCGTGAGTGTTGGTGGTGGCTTGCGTGAGTGTTGGTGGTGGCTTGCGTGAGTGTTGGTGGTGGCTTGCGTGAGTACTGGTGGTGGCTTGCGTGAGTGCTGGTGGTGGCTTGCGAGAGTGTTGGTGGTGGCTTGCGTGAGTGTTGGTGGTGGCTTGCGTGAGTACTGGTGGTGGCTTGCGTGAGTGCTGGTGGTGGCTTGCGAGAGTGTTGGTGGTGGCTTGCGTGAGTGTTGGTGGTGGCTTGCGTGAGTGTTGGGTGGCTTGCGTGAGTGTTGGTGGTGGCTTGCGTGAGTGTTGGTGGTGGCTTGCGTGAGTGTTGGTGGTGGCTTGCGTGAGTGTTGGTGGTGGCTTGCGTGTTGGTGGTGGCTTGCGTGAGTGTTGGTGGTGGCTTGCGTGTGTGTTGGTGGTGGCTTGCGTGTGTTGATGGTGGCTTGCGTGAGTACTGGTGGTGGCTTGCGTGAGTGTTGGTGGTGGCTTGCGTGAGTGTTGGTGGTGGCTTGCGTGAGTGCTGGTGGTGGCTTGCGTGAGTGTTGGTGGTGGCTTCCGTGAGTGTTAGTGGTGGCTTGCGTGAGTGTTGGTGGTGGCTTGCGTGAGTGTTGGTGGTGGCTTGCGTGAGTGTTGGTGGTCGCTTGCGTGAGTGTTGGTGGTCGCTTGCGTGAGTGTTGGTGGTGGCTTGCGTGAGTACTGGTGGTGGCTTGCGTGAGTGTTGGTGGTGGCTTGCGTGAGTGTTGGTGGTGGCTTGCGTGAGTGTTGGTGGTGGCTTGCGTGAGTGTTGGTGGTGGCTTGCGTGAGTGTTGGTGGTGGCTTGCGTGAGTGTTGGTGGTGCCTTGCGTGAGTGTTGGTGGCGGCTTGCGTGAGTGTTGGTGGCGGCTTGCATGAGTGTTGGTGGTCGCTTGCGTGAGTGCTGGTGGTTGCTTGCGTGAGTGATGATGCTGGCTTGCGTGAGTGCTGGTGGTGGCTTGCGTGAGTGTTGGTGGCGGCTTCCGTGAGTGCTGGTGGTCCCTTGCGTGAGTGATGATGCTGGCTTGTGTGAGTGCTGGTGTTGGCTTGCGTGAGTGTTGGTGGTGGCTTGCGTGAGTGATGATGCTGGTTTGCGTGAGTGCTGGTGGTGGCTTGCGTGAGTGTTGGT